ATTAAATTATTCCAAAAAGATGTCAGCGACTTTAAGTATGCTGTATCTAATATTAAGCATAAGTGGAAATAACATGATATGCAAAGAAACCCAATGTATTATAACCCATAAACAATTAAAATAGTTACAGCTCAGAAGCGAATGCATAATTCACTACAAACCATCTCAAATTATATACATACCCATTCAATAGCCTGAGCTGGATGCAATAGAAAAGACGTCTGACATATGAAGTCACATTTATAGTGTTTTCCCTTGCATAGCTTTCTATTATGCTCAGTGAGAGCTTGAAACGAAACTAAAAATGCTGCAGTGTTTATAATGTGGAGCTCCAGCCAAGGGGGTTCTCGACAGCCACATAAATAGCCTTGGCAAACTACTTACCTTCGAGACACTCAAGTTCTGCACAACCCCCCCTCAATACTACTGAATCCCAAATGAGAAAAATCTGGTAGATTCTTCTTTATTATGTTCTGGCTGTACCGACATACTTTATTAAAAAGTATATATTTGTGAACTGCAATTTTTTTCATCCAATATGATTTAAAACTATTGGGCTACAATATTTAGCTTGCTCTGCTTTTGTAAATTTTGATGCTTTTATCACAATATAGTACTTTTATCTTATTTATCATTAAATATTTTAAGTTTACATAAATTTGTTTTAGGAAACTGCAGATACTTAATTGGCAAAGAAAAATATCCAAGGGTTAAGTCGCTTCCTTACACTTTCAGTAAGATACTCAGTTTGGATCCATGCTAATTCAATGATGGTTCAGCTATGATACAGTTAGTCCTTGACTTGTGATTGCCTAGCTGAGCCTAGCAATTATGGTTATAAGTTGTTACATAAAATGAGTCATCATCTGACTGACCCAATTTTACAACTTTTTAAAATTGCGATCATCAAGTGAATGTTATGAAAAAATCTTTCAGGACCAGCTCCTTGCCAAACCTATGGTCACAAGCCATGGTCATCCCCATCTTCAAAAAGAGAGACCCCAGCCTAGTTGAAAATTACAGACCAATCTCTTTATGCTGCATCACCTGTAAAGTCATGGAATTAATTATTAACCAATCCATTATCCTCCACTTAGAGACAAAACAACCTACTCTCTAATAAACAATTTGGTTTCAGAAAAAAACTATCCTGTAATCTGCAACTCTTACACTGTAAACTCGATCAGGGCAAAGCAATAGACGCAATCTACACAGACTTCTGTAAAGCCTTTGATTCAGTGGTACACAACAAACTCCTCCTAAAACTAAAATATTATGGTATCTCTGGACACCTGCATAACTGGATAGAAGCATTCCTGTCAAACAGACAACAAATGGTCAAAATTGGGAGCATTCTATCAAATTCTGTACCTGTCAACAGTGGTGTCCCCAAGGCAGTGTTCTAGGACCAACTCTCTTCATACTCTACATAAATGACCTCTGTAATCATATTAAGAGCAACTGCGTTCTCTTCGCTGACGATGTAAAGCTATTCAACACCACAAACAATACTGCTACACTTCAAAAAGACCTCGACTATGTATCAGAATGGTCAAACAAATGACAACTTCAAATCTCAACAAATAAATGCTCTGTCTCACATATTGGCAAAAAAAATCAGAAAATAAAATACAAGCTGAACAGTCAAGACCTTGTTGATGATCCAAGCTCTGTAAAGGACCTTGGAATACTCATCTCTAATGATCTAACTGCTAGAGCCCACTGTAACTACATAGCCAAAAAGGCATTAAGAGTTCTTACCCTAATCCAGGACTTCTGGTTTGGCCTTCTTCGGTGATGGACCGAAATCCACAATCGTGAGCAGTTTTGATCTGTGCTCGCTGCTGGAGTGCCCCGAGCCGTCCAGATTCGGGGTTGAAGCCACCCCGTAGAGGTGGTGAAGAAGGGGGAGCTATCAGCTGGATTGAGGAGAGCCACATCTCTCCTCCTCAGCTGGCCATTACTCCCTTTCCCGAAGGCGGTTGCAGCGGTGGTCAGAAATGGCCACCTCAAAGAAGAACCCGACCAAACAAGACTGTGCAGGAGGAAGTTTAAAGGAGAAAGCTTGACTGACAGAGTTGAATGGAGAACATCTATTTAAGGTACCTGGAACCTGAATTTTAAAGACTAATACTATTCCTAAAAAAGATCTCAAGCGTGCGAAAGAGAAAAGGAAAGGACGGAATTACCTTTTTTTTTCTCTCACATTGACAGTTTTAACTGTCTTGGAACGTTAAGAAGAAGGGATTCGAATAAGATATTGATACTAATCCACTTTAACATTAATAGGCTATTTTTAGCTGAAAATAAACTGTCAAAAGGATAAAAATTCTTAGATAATTTAAAAACTTTCTTTAAAAAAGAAAGAAAGCAGAGGGAAAAAGGAAACAAGGAGGTGGAATCTGGAAAATGGAGGAGACCACCTGGAACTTAAAAAAAATCGATAGTGGAATTTTAACAAGGCTTGCAAAAGATACACCGTAGCTGAAACTTTGTTACAAGATAACAAAACCCCTGGAAAGAGAAAGTGAGAAAAGAAGCAAGAAACAGTTTTGGATTATTGGATGATTCCTGGAATTTTGGATGATGAATCCTAATGAAACAAAATAAAATCAATTGGGGGTTGTTTAAATTTTTTTAAAATGGCATCACTCCTTGAAGAGTTAAAAATGAAACTTAAAGAACAAAAAGAAGAAGCACAAGACAGAAGAGGATCTTTTGGCTTCATATTTCAATTTTTAGAAATGGAGATTTTGAACTATGAAAAACAACAAGAAACGCTGGCAGAACAAGAAGGGAGGGACAAAGAAGAAGCCATCTTTAATGACCAAGCAACTTTAAGCGGGGCAAAAAAGGGAAAGGAGGGGAAGGGAGTTAAAAACTTAAGCACTGAAGCAACAACCAAAAAAAGAGTAATTTGAAAAGCAATTATAATACTAGGAAGAAGCAGAAGGGAGGATCACAGAAGGGAGAATCAGATAGAAAAAGGAACAAAAAGGGTTGTTGAAATTCATTTTCCCCCCTCATTATTCTGATGGGCCGGTTGCTGGAAAAAAAAAGCAGGTTATGGCCTACAGTTGAAAGAAAACCGGGAAGCCTGTAATTGTGGTCTGTCTGTCAAGAACAAAGAATGCTTAGTCACAGAGAATATGCATGTGTAATATTTGTAGCAATTCTAGGTGATTAGAAGACTCCTAACAGTAACAAAGAGTTAGACATCCTGCATAATAACTAAGCTAAAAGTTAGGAGTAGAGATGGCCTGGAGCAAATAAAATGTGCATTAGATAATTCCTGGAGCATTCATTAGCCAAGGTTTACAAGGTTTGTTAGGCTAGAGACTAATAGAACAAATTGTTAGATGGTTACTAGAATGTTTATTACATGATATTTCTTATTATCCCACCTTGTCCCACCTTCTGCTTTAGTGAAATTGTATAATCCTTTGTTCTGGGCTCTTGGCATTTTGGCCAGGATCCCTTTTTATAGAGCATTCCAATAAAAGAAAACAAAACCTGCACCTCACATCTGGTGTCCTTCATTGGCCTCAGCACCAGGCTCAGACCCAAATTGGGGACAACAAATCTACATTCAGTAGTTCATAATGACAAAGTGAAAACAGAATTTTAGAAATGTCTATAAATGTATTAAAAAGAAAGAAAACTGAAATAATTACATTGGCCGAAGTATTCAGAGCCTTTGCAACAGCACATGAGATTTAGCTCTGGTGCCTCCCATTTCTCTTGATCGTTGCTGACATGTTTCTATACCTTGAAATGGAGTCGGACCTGTGATAAATCGATTGGACCTGATTTGGAAAGGCACACACCTCTCTATAGAAGGCGTCACAGCTGACAATGCATACTGTAGCAGAGCAAAAGCCTGCAGAGCTCAGAGACAGGATTATTGCAAGGCACAGATCTGGGGAAGGCTACAGTAAAATTTCTGCTGCACTGAAGGTTCCTAAGAGCATAGTGGCCTCCATAATTCTCAGATGGAAGAAGTTTGGTGCAACCAAGGACTCTTTCCAAGAGTTGATTGCCCAGTCAAACTGAGCAATCGGAAGAGAAGGGCCTTAGTAAGAGAAGTGACCAAGAACCCAATGGTCACTCAGACTGAGCTCCAGAGATCCCGTGTGGAGATAGGATAGAGTTCCAGAAGGACAACCATCATTGCAGCCCTCCACTGATCTGGACTTTATAGCTTTATAGCTAGATGGAAGACTCTCCTCCGTGCAAAACACATAAAAGCCTGCTTAGAGTTTCCAAAAAAAGATCTGAATAAATAACTGTGAAACAAACTCTAAGTGGGCTTTCATGTTTATGGAGCTTCTCAGTCATCCAGATCATGGTTGTCCCAAGGTTGTCCCTCTTTAAGAGGCAACTGAACTTTCTGGGTTTTTTTCTTTGAAGACGTTTTGCTTCTCATCCAAGAAGCTTCTTCAGGGCTTTCATGTATTTCATACTTTCTGAATGCACTCTAAATGTTCCCTACTGGTAGGTCTTGATTAATGGGATTACAAAGCCCACAAAATGGTTGTATTATTCAAATATGTACTATTCAAGTGATACATTTATGGAAAATAAGGTAATTGTTTCTGGCTGGAGGGAAATAACCAATAAAAAAAAATTTAAACGTCTTTTTTTATGTTTGTTAATAAAATATACCAGCAAAAGATTAGAATACGCTTAGAACAATTTTATATTCCACTAAGCCGAAGTACTTATAGAAAGCAAAGTCAAAGAATTCTGAAAACATTCTCCTTAGACAGACAGACAGACCTCAGAACTAATTTAAAATAAATACATCAGGGGAACTAACCACAAGCGGGATGATGAAGACATACACTCAAAATGCTCCTGCACGTGACGAACCTTCGGCAGTTTTTCCGCCCCAGGAAGGACCGTACTACAGTACCCGCCATGCTTTGCGCCGACGCCGGCTACCATTCTGGAGACGGGAGAGCGCGCGCAGGGCCTGTTGGGAGAGCGCGCGCGCGCGCGCGCGTGTATGTGTGTCGGCGGCCGGGGAAGGTGGCGGAGCAAGTGCCCTTCCCTGGCGCCTTTCTCCTCTTTCTCTCCCTTCCCCGTCCATTCATTGCTGCCCTGCGGACTGTCCGCGCCCCATCTTCTCCGCCATGGAGGCGTTGATTCCGGTCATTAACAAGCTGCAGGACGTCTTCAACACGGTGGGCGCCGATATCATCCAGTTGCCGCAGATCGTGGTGGTCGGGACGCAGGTGAGGCAGGCGGGCCCTGAGCCAGGGTGACCTCCGCCTGGGCTGGAGGCGAACAGATGCCCTTGGGGGAGCCCTCCACCCGTGGGGGTTGGCTGGGACAGCGGAGTGTTTCAGTGGGATGCGGGTACAAGAGAGGTGGGTTTCCTTCCTGATCTGGGGGTGGTGGGGGTTGTTTGAGGGAAGGAAATATTGGCCGGCCAGTGCGAGTCTTGCAAAGTGTGGAGGTTGCTGGGTGGTGGTTGTTGTGGTTGTGGTTATTGTTATTCTCTACAACTCCCAGCGAGTCTGGGAGGTGTGCAAATTTTAAAAATGCATTTATGGATATTGCAGTTGTGATTAGCATTGGCAGCCTTCCAGTTGTAGGACTGGAAGTGAGCTTTATTGTAATTGTATTGGAGTCTTGAGGAGTCTTGAGGTGTGCAGGGTTAAGTTTTATATAAATAAGTTAAGCGGTTGTGATGTGTTTATTAGTGGTGTTATAAGAGCTGTATTGACATAAAAACCTTTGCTTTCTTTTTTCTTTTTGGAACCACGTGTTATATTCCCCTCCCAGAATGAAAGAAGTCACTCCCAAGTAGGAAAAGCATGCGGATAGACTTTCCAGTCCTGACTTAATAATTAATAATTTACTAGCAAATTAAGGGGAACACAACAGGCCAGAAGGCTGCAAATAGGCAATATAAATTTTTTGGGAATAACACCCTAAATCAGGAGTCCTACAGCTCATTGAACCCTTCAGATTGTTCATCAATTCCCAAACGTATGAAATTTTGAAAAATAAATTCTACTTTAATAGCATGACTACTAACAATAATAACGGTAACCTCTTGGATAGTGTCAGCAATTTGGGGGGATTGATACTGACCACTTTGGGGAAAGCTGCATCAAGGCTACATTGTAAGGTTATCGAAAGGCCTCTGGTTGTTTTGCTGTTAAATCCTAAGGATGGGATTAGTCGAGTTTGTTAAACAATTTAATATTTAAACTGAATAGGAGAAGATATTTGGAAATATTGCAATGGTGTTAAAAGTTAATGCATTTAAATGTTGAGCAGGTAAAGTCCTGAGCTAGTTAAAGCTAAAAGGAAAAATGGAAACATTTTGTCCCTATGTATTAAATAAGAAAAGATTGTATGCTTTTGTGTTTGGTTTAGTATGTGCTGTCTGCAGCTGCTGTGCATGAAGATTTATCCTTGCAACAACTGTGTTAAATAAAAGGTCTCTTTGCTGTCACTTTATAAATGAAATGCACGTTGTAAACACATGGTCTTGTATAGACGTATATAGGTGCTGTGGAGGCATTTGGAAGTGATAAGAAATATTTTATTCAGAGAACAGTTTGGAGGTGATGCTGTAAACGGATTATTCTGTCAGTTGCTTTCAGGGGTGAGTAACTAGGAAAATATAAATGCCACACCCTGTTCTTCAGAGAAAAATATCAATTGTGATTGGTAAATAATGGTTAAAATTATAGAAACCATAAGAGATCAGATCTCAGTGGTAAGAATTCAGGGATATAATGTGAAAATTAGAGAATATGAAAATCACGTTAATATATTTATTAAATTTAATTGTCACCTTGTCTAAAGTGATGCTAGGCAGTTTATATTTTAATATAGAAATATAAAAATTATAAATATAAAAACAAACTGACAAAGGATCAAATACATGTGTAAGGGATAGCATTTTCCAGGAAAAAAATAGAGCATTTTGGTTAATAGATTTGTATTATTTTTCTATAATATATATAGGGCTAAGTTTACTGAAATCTTGCTGGTGCTGCTAAACTTGTACAGTGAAAGGTTGAAGATCTCAATCTTCCTCTCTTATAAATTGAGGGCACATAGCAGAGTAGAATTAGTAGAAGCTTGGATGTCTATGGAGATTATCAATTAATCCAGGTCATGGTTGCCCCATAGGTGCTTTTCCAAAAGATGACAGGAGTTGATTTTTTTTCCCTTGAAAATGTTTTGTTTCTTAGAACTAGAACAAGAAATTGTCAAAGGAAATATGATTGCATGGAGCAGAAACGTGGGTCGGAGCATTACCCTAGCAGAATGGGAAAAGATCTGGAACAGGAACATTAAGATCACGAAATCAGCAGCTTATAAAGAAAACTCATATAAAATGTTTTATAGATGGCACCTGCCCCCTTCGAGATTGGCGAAGATGCACCCCAACACGAGCCCCAAATGTTGGAAATGTCAAAACATAGAAGGTACCTTCTTCCACATGTGGTGGTCATGCAAGGAAACCCAGAAGTACTGGCAAAAAATTAGGCACTGGCTAGAGGAAATAACCAAGGAACAAATTGAGTACAAACCAGAGTCCTTCCTTCTAGGAATTTTTGATAAACAAATATCCAAAAAATCGAAGTATATTACAATCCATATCTTAACCGCGGCCAGACTGGCATTTGCCCAGTGCTGGAAACTACCCTCTATCCCCACTGAACTTATGGTTATTCAGAAAATTTTACAATGCGCCGAAATGGACAAACTAACCCAAGCATTAAAAAATAAAGAATCCTCAATCTATTATAGCAATTGGAACCCTTTGTATAATTGGCTAAACCAAAGATAGATCACCTCTAGGAAAATTAAGGCCGAGGGCCTCCCAAGCAGAGATAAAGAAAAGCATCGCCGATAGTTTTGAAGAAGAAAGGACCTTACAGACAGTCACAAAAAATATGGTTTTATTATAATTGTTTTCCCTACTCTTTCCTTCCCTTCCCTTTCCCTCTTTCCTCTCTCAAGCCTTCCTCTCTTTCCCTCTTGGCCTATGCCAAGATCTGTTTGTCTTTTTGTTGTATATAATTTGTAGCTGTGTTGTTTTTAAAAGTAAAATTAATAAAGTTTTTTCTAAAAAAAAAAAAAGAAAATGTTTTGTTTCTCATCCAAGAAGCAACTTCAGAGTTCTTCAGAGGCTTGAAATTATTAAGTCATAATGAGAAGGAGGTACAGAAAATGTTTCTCATTGATAGGCTAATGGCTCTGTCTGTAGGCACTTCTCAAAAGAAATGAGTTCTGTATAAATGGAATGTGTTTGCATAATTATCTATAAACTATTTCACTAGTTTGCTACATGTGCTAGTTCTGGAGGAAAAGAATAATATATTTCAGTGACGGTCATTTTTATTTGGCCTTGTCTGTAACTTCCAATTAGTATCAGTTAAATTCCTTCAAGCATAACTTTGTACCTATAAAGACAAGAAACTTGATTTTTTTTTAAAAAAAGTTGGAATCTCATAGAAAAGAGATATATGTACATACAATCTGAGTTTTTTCATAGCATGAATACAGACTTTATAAGACATATATTGTAATGTGTTCCCCCCCCCCCCAAAAAAAAATCACAATAGATTTATTCACTTTTTCCTTAGTATATTCAGGATGAAATTTATGAGATCTTTTCTCTGTCACAGCTAAATAGAGAAAGGTTGAAGATCTCAATCTTCCTTTTCCAGAAATTTTCTAGATTCATATCTCCCTTGACTTGCCTTAGTATAGCCCTATGGTAGTTTTCTTGCTCATTCATTCATTCATTCATTCATTCCAATTGATCAATCAATCAGTTTCTATAGTTGCCCATCTTAATGATTCTGGGTGGCTTACTGTTCAAAAATATATTACAGTTAAAACAGTAAAAATATTTTAAAACAACAAAAACCAATGAAAACATCTAGAATAAATATACAAAGCAGTTATTGCTGGCGCCTATCTTCCTTGACCTGGCACCCTTCCTCCAACTTTCTGCACTTCTACCTTGAATGCTTTCATCAATCACCAATAAAAAACTCACCTTCTGCAAAATTCTTAGCAGAGTGGCACAAGATGCCCTTTAAGATTTCAAGTATATCATATCATTCTCTGAGAAGCTGACAAAAATGGGGTGGTTGTCATGACTATGGTGGATTATATAAAGGAAGGCAACTTTCCAATACAGCATTCTACCAACTAACACCCTTAATCATATTCCACAGCTTCATACCAAAGAGAATTAGGCAATCTGATGAAACATACAAGACTGCATCTACATGAAGATATCCTAGGGTCCCCGATTAGGCAATGTCTACCTATTTCCCAAAATGCATAAGCCAGGCATCTTGGACATTCCATTTGTCCCAAGTTGTAGAACTATGATAACTGGAAAATTAGGCTTGGGACCAGGTTATCTGATGGGCCATCTCTTGCCAGTCACATACACCCAACTCACTAGAGCGGGAGACAAGGAATGTTGTGGGTCCTGTCCCCTAAGGAAACACAAGTGGCATGATCCAGAAGAAGGGCCTTCTCCATGGTGGCTCCTTCCCTTTGGAACATCATCCCTCTGGAAATTAGATTGGCTCCAACTGACACTCTTTCAGAAGGCCTGAAGATGTGGTTCTGCCAGCGAGCTTGGGAACCCAGAGTGGGATGGAGCCCATTAAATGACTGGTACAAGTGTGTGTTGTTACCAGAGTGAGAAGTTATTTTATTATTTTAATTAATTTTTATTTCTTTTATATTGTATTTTTATTTCCTGTAAGCCGCCTTGAGTTGCCATGAGCAAGTAGTAAAATTTCTACTACTAAAATTTCTACTAATAAAACAAATAATGTAACAATGCATTACATTATACATACCATATAGCAAAGATTTTGGGTTATGTATTCTAAGTGGAAAACAAGTTTATGTGCATATAAATATATTTGAAGAATATATCTCTTTAAAGAAGTTATTGATGATAATTCTATGCCATAGTAGTTCTGCTAAGTCACATTTCCCAGAAATCCTATCATCGGTGATGAATAATGAGCACTATTGGAGTTGTACGTCTGAATGCAAGTTCGACCCTGGATATAATTGGATTTGTGGGATTTAATTCAATGGAAACATATTTTAACTGTAGGAGATAAATTTAATGAATAAATGAATGTATCTGAAGCATACCACAAAATACAGGTCTTCAGTTCCCTTGTTTTCTCTGTGTCTTCTAGGGCCTGGATCCTGACCACCCAGT